CGATGGCATCTTCTAATTTCCCTTAAGAACATCGATAACCTGTAGAGTTCGACTCGGATCGGAGCGCGTTGATCTCAATCTCATGGTCAGAGGGTGGTCGGTGATGATGCCGAATGCAGTGGCGGGTGGTGTGGGCTAGGGAGTCCTTGGCGTGATTATCGATAGGCGCCGATTAGCGTCATCGCGTCCAAAGCATCGTTTTCGGCGCCAAACCTCTAACTCCATCATGAATATGAACGAAATTGTTGCGTTGCCTTTTTCCTTCGATGTGAAATTCGATCTGATCTCGCGTCATCGTAATGTCTGCGTTGATATCTATCGCGGCGCGTCTGCCACTCATGCCTGTTTCACGTCAGGAAAGGCAATGCAACGCGCCGTACCTATACGCGCATGCTATTACGATGCGAACCGGAAGCTGATACTTCTAACAAGACGTTCGATCTATGCTAACGATCCAGGGCTCGGCGTGCCGATCGTCGTCTTCCAAGCCGGATCACGTATCATCTAACGATTGGCGTCGCAGTATACGTTTGAGCACCAAAGCAGATTGACACGATGCCGCGTCAACGCCATTGTATCTATGCGCTTACCCATTCATCCTTACCAAACCACAGCTACAGTAATGCCGGCATTCGCACCACACAAATCGACTCACGACGTGTCCATTATGGCCTTCGCGACGAACGACACATTGAAGCCCGACCAACGATACGACGCCTTACGCAATACCGACGACCACTCGGATTCGAGTACAGAGGTTGACGATTGGGATACAGAAGATGCAGTACGACCTAGACAAAGAAACAAGACAGTGTGGAAGCGGCTGAAGGGCTACAGATGGATACTAGACACAGCGCTTCTCCTCGTCATTGTAGGCTTGCTGGTGGAAAACAGATGGCAAAGACATACAAAAATTCATCAATACGAGCTCGCAGGAGACATCACAGGCTTCGCGCCAACATTCTCGCAACAGATTGTGAGCTTCAAGCCCAGTTCTGTATTCGCCCCGGAAGATGCGTCAGAGTTCTGGAGCAACGAGACACAGCATGCATGGTTGAGCATCGTACCAGGTATGTGCATCATTCTGAGTTCTCACAGTTGAACAGTGTTGACGATCTCCGTAGAGGGCTTGGGCTACGTCAACGTGAAGAATCCCTCCGAATACTCGAACCTCCCGCACCCGATACACGACTATCCCAATCACACCGTCTTCACCACGTCCGTGACGCATCAGCTGCACTGCCTCTACACTATACTGGGCGCGTACAACTCCATGAAGCTCATGGTCGCGTCACCTGTGTCAGCAAACCCTGTCAAGATGCCATGGCACATCAACCACTGCTTCGAATACATCAGACAGGCGATAATGTGCGCGGGAGATGTGGCGCTGGAAGGGGCTGCGACAAGCTTCCCTGGTGACGAGCATGGAGAAGATCGAGGTGGGAGTGACGGTTGGGATGCGAGGCATGTGTGCAAAGACTACACACAGGTATATCAATACCTAGAGAAGGAAACGATTAACCACATGAAGTGGATCTCATCGGATTAGTGATCCACGCTGTACCCTCGGAGGCAGCATGTGAAGTGGAGTCTGCCTCGTGCAGCGGGCCGTTTGGACAGACCCAAACGTGGGCTTTGCGCTTGCGCACACGGGTGACGTGTATCGAGTTCACCATCAGCAATCCAAGACATTGGCATGTAGCAACATTGTATACATCGTATTCCAAGTGCAAAGCGTCGAATTAAAGTTATGAGCTGACTGTGCACACTATCGTAGCCTGTGTTACATTGTAACAATTTCGCTATGGACCTATGATTTCCTTCTAGCTAGCTGACTCTGATGATTCCCGCAACAAGCAACATTCCCTTCTCGCCTGCAACACATGACTACCCATCCCACCTCATTACAGTAACTTCCGAGTCCTCCGAGCATGCATACAACACCATCGGGCAGTAACCCGTTTAGGTCCAACATGCGAATTCGCAGATCTGCTGTATCAGATTTGGCGAATCACGACCCCCGCGAATCAGCCTCGGTAACGGGGCAGAGCAGGGATGCTGCAGCAGCGGCATCACCGAAAACCTACGCACGCTATGCTCTAGCCTCCGCGAGCGCATTCCCTTCCGAATGGGCGTTTACCTCAGCAGTCGGGCGCCGCTTTGCACCGTGTCCGGAGCTGAATGCTCAAATTGTAAGTGTGCCGTGGGCTTGTTAGACGATGCGTTTGTGGAACCCCTAGAATTTCGGACGAGTGTTGGTGGTATAAGAGAGTGGCTGGCCCCGTGACTAATGATATATTTTTGTTGTGTTGACATTTTACGACAAACCTTGGGATTATTCAGCCAAGCCCGTGGCTATACTGAACGACCATCCGCCTCTTGGTGGTAATACCGGGATTCTTGGACAACACCGCGGAGAGCGGGACAACGACGGAGACCGAACAGTTTATCGGACCTCGGCCGAGCAGTCGCACGACAAATCTTTCTGCGAGTAAGAAAAGAGACATTGATTGCATACGGACGTAAGACAAGGGGAAGAGGACTTGGGTGTCTGTTACCTGGGCTTGGCTCAACAACAGACGCTTCATACTGTGGATTCAAGGCGGACCTGACAGCGGCTGTGTCTATTACCCTGCAATCACTCTTTCCACATCAACAACTGGGTTCGTTGCGAGGCACCGGTTAAACACCCCGTGGAATAAACGCGACTTCCTCGAATAAAGCATACAAATAGCTCCCACGAAGACGCGGCTACCCGCTATCGACATTCCTCGACGTCATCACTAAAACCTTTTCCGAAAACCACTACCTTTCTCCAACAACACAATTCCTACAGACACCATGGCGCAATCGCCACTACTTTTCATCGTTGCGGGAGCCGCCATCTCCTATATCCTATACACCCGTATTGCCCTGTACCTCGCGCGCCAGCGCTTCAAGAAAGAGAATGGCTGCCAACCCTGCACGGCGCAGTTCCACAAAGACCCTATTTTCGGAATTGATAATGTGAAGGTCATGGCATACAACAGCAAGCACCACATCCTGCTGGAAGAGAACAGAAAGCGCTTTGGACGGCTCGGTAACACTTTCCATAACAGGCTGGTTACCATGCCTTTCATTGCGACGTGCGAGCCGGAGAACGTCAAGACGATCTTGAGTTTGAAGTTCAAGGATTACGGTTTTGGTCATAGGCAGGGTGCTTTTACTCCTCTTTTGGGCCACGGTATCTTCAACGCGGATGGTGAGCGGTGGGCTAATAGCCGTCACTTGCTGCGACCCAACTTCGCTCGCGACCAAGTGGCGGATATTGAGGCGTTCGAGAGGCACTTCAAGCTTATGCTCAAGCACATCCCCAAGGATGGCGCTACTGTCGATCTGCAAGAGCTCTTTTTCCGTTTGACCATCGACACCGCAACAGAGTTTCTGTTCAACCACTCCACCAACTCGCTCCGCATGGTCGGCCAAGAAGACGCAAACAACGAGGACGTCATTTTCAGCAAGGCATTCACCACCGCACAAGACGACATCACGACCCGCACCCGCTGGGGCATCTTCGACCGATTCCGCAAGAACCCCGAGGGCAAGAAGGCTATCAACATCTGCCACGCCTACGTTGACAAGTTCGTCGACGATGCGCTCCGTTTCAGGGAAGAATTGGATGCTGAGAAGAGCGCTGGAGGCAAGGACGACAAGTACTACTTTATTCAAGAAGTAGCTAAGCAGACTACCGACAAGAAGCGGATTCGTGAGGAACTTATCAACATCCTGCTTGCCGGACGTGACACGACTGCCAGCTTGCTCAGCAACATGTTCTTCCAGATTGCGAAGAGACCTGATATCTATGCCAAGTTGAGGGAGGAGGTTGCGGCGCTTGGAGGTCGCACACCGACGTACGAGGAGTTGAGAAACCTCAAATACGTCAAGTGGTGCCTCAATGAATGTAAGAATGGCCACTGAGTTGACGTCGTTTATATGCTAATCATGACCAGCTCTCCGCCTCCACCCAGTCGTTCCCGGTAACTCTCGCCTTGCTATCCGCGATTCTGTCCTGCCCCGAGGAGGTGGTCCAGACGGCCAAGCACCTCTGTTCGTACCAAAGGGAACAACAGTCGGCTACTCACCATACACCATGCACCGCCGCCACGACCTCTACGGCCCAGACGCAGACGAGTACAAGCCTGAGAGGTGGGAGACTCTCCGTCCAGGCTGGGAATACCTGCCTTTCAACGGCGGCCCACGCATCTGTCTCGGACAGCAATACGCGCTTACCGAGGCGAGCTACGTGACTGTGCGTTTGGTGCAGGAGTTCAAGACCATGGAGAGCCGAGACCCAGGTCCATGGCGAGAGGGTCTCACACTGACTTTGGCCTCAATGAACGGTACACAGGTTGGCCTTACGCCTGCCTAGAAGGAGCGTAGTCAGCGATTGAGACACAGCTGTTTCGAGAGGTGTAAGATTGGGGAGGGCGGTGGGAAAATCCAGCACGACGAGTTGTGCTTGCTTGCGGAATCACTGGGGGTCTCAGCCGTCATGCCACCTTTTTGGCCAGGAGAGGGACCTATCAGGAAAAGGCGGCTATCATTGTTCTAGGGAGTTCTGTTCATATGGGACCCTTTCAGAGGCATTGCATTTTGATCTTCACTGTACTATACCTACTACTATGAAATTCTATGAACTCTAAGGAAGCTGGCAGAGAGGGTGACTTTCTAGTGGAAGTCATCCCAAAGCACTGGAAGACATGCTCGTGCATTCGGTTAATTCACAATGCTTCGAACGTCTCACTTTCGTGCTTACATACAAAACAACAGTACTCTCTTCGCAAGCGGCAATCAAACCTACAACATTACTGCAACTGTAGTGACCCGAATCGAGACTAGTGCCGGAAGTCCGCAACTGTGACCCTAGACACACAAGTGTTGATCAACAACAGCGCAACACGCCACGACGCACGCACCGAACCTTCCCTTCCACCTGTCCCGCAATTTCGTTGGCAAACATCATGTCGCGAAGTCACCGCCCCTCGACGACGCCCATGGACTTTGAGTGGACAAACCAAACAGGCCCCATCGACGCTCAATCGCCTTTCCTCGCTGCCAGCCAACAAAAGAAGCGTGAGTCCCCAGGCCCCTCTTTCCCTTTCGGACGAGACACACTTGGGGAAACACAACCGCTGACTTCAGGGCCTTCTTTCGGCCAGCCAGGTCCTCACTCCGTCCTAGACTCGCCCTCCAAGAACGGTTTCGCGACTCCAAATCGGCTGCGCGACCCCGACAACCGCATGACATACTTCAGCCGCGATCCCAGCAAGCCGCTACCGTCCACACCCGCATCTTCGGTGCCCGCACACATCCAACCGAGCCCGTGGTCTATGCGAACGCCCTCACACGACCTCGACTTCAGCTCAGGCGGGGAAACACCCGGCACACCACAGGTAGACAGCGACCCTGGCACACCAGACACACAATTGGCGAGCAAGATGGGGCGGTTGGGCAACGGCGATGTAAAGGGCGGGCGGCGAGACAGCTGGTTCAAGCGGACCTTCATGTCCACGCCGAGCCCCACCAAAGAGCGGGACAGAGAGCGGGACAAGGACAAGGACGCATCGCAAAAGTACTACTCCAAGAAAGCCGAGAACCGCATAGTCAAGCGCCGGTCAGAGCGATCACGGTCCAAGAAGCGCGCCACGGTACACGACGACGACGGCGAAGATTCCGACAACGAACAGAGACGGCCAGCGGTCCCTCCCAAAGAGGCGGGGCCCGTCCAGCAGACTCTCGCCATGAGCGTAGGCGGCTTCCTCTCATGGGTGGAAGCGCATCCCAACCTCCCCTCCGTACTGTCCTACTACCTCCAACTCACCGTCAACATGTTCCTCGGCAGCCTCTTCATCTACATCGTCTACTCCGCCTGGGCGGGCGTCATGACGGACGTCGACATCGAATCCTCCAAACACGCATCCGAAGTCATGGTTGAAATCGCCGGATGCGCTATTGAATACAACCGGAATCGCTGCCGGCCGGAGGAAGTCGTGCCGGCTATGGAGCGGGCTTGTGGTGTCTGGGAGACGTGCATGAACCGCGATCCGAAGAAAGTTGCAAGAGCGACGGTGACGGCGAAGACGTTTGCTATGATCTTTAACTCTTTTGTCGAGGAGTTTAGTTATAAGTCTATGGTATGTTGCATCCTCCTCATCGTCGTTAGAAGATGGGCTGCTAGTGTGCATAGCCCTGCCTACGAACGGCGCGAGCACATTGATTCTGCGTATACGCATTCGCACAACCAATATACCCAGTCCTGCGATTGCATTCAGCGCAGTAGATCCCGCACCCGCAGCCCCCAACACCCCCACCACCACCACCACCACCAAAATCCAAATATATATCCCGACTCAGACTAACACCATTCACCCAGATCTTCACAGCCATAATAATCTTCGGCGGCTTCAACCTCTCAAACTGGGCGTTCGGCCTTCTCCGCTCCCAGCAACAACAACAAACGCACCACACACAACCCCACCACCAACAACCAAACGAATTCGTCCCACAAACGCCGCACAGAGTGATCAGCAACGGTTACAACGATAGTTATAACCACCAAAGCTACCAGCAGAATTGGCAGCAATTACCGGCGTATCAACAACAGCAGCAGCAGCAATTACAGGGAACGCCGTATCAGAGTCATAGTACGCCGTATCAGGGCCAGAGACATATTGAGGCGCCGCCGCTGGTGCATGCGCATACTATGCCTGCGTTGGGGAGTTCGAGTTCGACGCAGGAAGGGGTGGCGACGGCGGATGGGGGGAGGACGCCCAGAAAACGGGGGTTGTTCCGATAGACACTCTTTCATTTGATGAGTTTTCTGTGTATGTTTCTTGATGATTGATCTGTATAAGCGCATTCTTTCGATTTGTATACATGTTCTTAGGGTTGTCGTAGGGTAGGCTTGGGGCTCGCAAAAGGTAGCATAGGTTGGCGAACCGGTGGAACAAAGGTCATCTTACGAATATCCACACTTTTTCTACTCCTGTCATATATAGTTTGTAAATGTCATTTTTTGAACGAATGAATTACTAAGTTTTATCATAAGAAGAGCATCGAAGCCTCCAACCTGGATATCAAATGGGCAATCATCTACTTGTTGAACCGCCAAACGCCCCAATCAAGGAATCTCGTATCTATCTGTCTATGCATACATGCCGACTTGCTTACGCAGCAGCCTCGGTCTTGGTCTCCTCCTTGCCACTCTCCTCGTACTTCTCCCAGTTGGCCAGGATGTTGCCGATCTTGGGTGAGTTGGTGAGCTTGTACACGTCCTCGAAGTACTCCTTGGTCAACGCGAAGGGCTTCGCAGTTACGTTGGGGATGTACTTTCCGACCAGCTTGCTGGGGTCGATGGAGGTCTTGTGGATTTTCTTAAGAAGGAAAGACCTGAAGGGCTTGACACCGGATCGCAAGAAGGTCGAGTGGAAGGGTACGTCAATACCCTTGAGCGGGATGGTAGCGAAGCCACGCTGGAGGTCGAGCGGCTTGGGCTTGGCCTCTGTCTGCTCGGCGCAGCCCTTGATGATCTCAACCAGGTGGTTCTTAACTTCCTCTAGCGACAGGGTCTGCATGAGCGCTTGAATGTCGATCTTCTGTTGCTTGAGGTAGTTTGTCACGCCAGTAAGGCAGTCGAGAGCGCGAAGGTCACCGGCAGCAACGTACTGCATGTTGGCGATGTTGTAGTTGACAATCTCCAGAAGCCATCCGGTTGTCTCGGCAATGTTCTCAACAACGTATTGAAGAGCTTGCTCGTTGAAGGTCTTGGAGATCCTGCTGGGGTTGACAGCGCACATGGAGTAATTCGAGCGTCCGGTCTCGTCACGCTCGACGGCGACTTGCATGGTAAGACCACGGTAGAACACTACCGAGACCAAGCTCTCAATAGGCATGACCTCAGCCATGGCAGCAAGGGCAGAGTATTCACCAAGAGAGTGTCCAGCGAATGTGCTCTCGACTTGGATCAGACCCTTGGCGCGCATATCCTCAAACGATGCCTTCTCCATAAGTGTCAGAGCAGGCTGTGTGAATTGAGTCGCTGACAACAGACCAGTCGGCGACCGGTAGGTGTACGATGTGGTGTTCTCGTCAATCTCCTTGAAGATCTTCTCAGACTTGATCGAGCCGTCCGCGGCAACAGTCTCGAATGTCATGGACATGTAGTTCTGGCGGATGGCCTTGCCGACTGGGCCACCAAAGTGAATGGTAAGCTCCTTGGGGTTATTCTTCACGATGTTGGTGATGGCGAAGCCTGTTGTGAATTAGCCACGGTATGATATAGATGATTGGTGCAGACTTACCATAGTTGTCCATGAAGTGCTTGTCGGCGCGGTCCCAGACTTCCTTGGCGACAGGACTGCTGTTGTAAAGCTCCATACCCATACCCTGCTCTTGCGATCCTTGTCCAGTGAAGACGTATGAGGTAGTGGGTTGCTCGACCTCAGCCTCACCAAGGAGGACCTTGTCTTCGGTCTCTTGGTTGCTGACTTCAATCTTGATGATCTTACGACCGGACACCATACCGACGTGCTGAAGCTTGACATCGAGCATGTCGTCGGGAAGCACCATGCCCACGAGGTTGACGTGGTAGCTCCTAACACGACCGACATTGTTCTCGGCGGCCCAGGTCTCTACCAAGCTTCGGACAGCTGCGCTGGAGTACATGCCGTGGGTAATTGTACCAGGTAGATTGGCGTAACTAGCAAAGACACGTGAGACGTGAATGGGATTGTAATCGCCAGAGACGCGAGCGTAGTTCTCGTTGGAAGCAGGTGCCTTGAGCTGAAGCGGTGCCTTGCCGTGAAGTGGGATAGCGTTGTCGAACAGCACTGGCTGATCAACCGCAGCTCCATTGCGCTCCAAGTAGTCGAGGACGGGGTTGCCGTATGCGGTGCCCGAGCTGTATTGCACGGAAGCGATTTGAATTACCTCCTTAGTCGGGAGTTCGAGCAAGACCTCTCCTTGAGTCTCGATGTCAGAGAAGACTGTCTTGTTCTTGTATCGCACGACAGTCTCGAGCTTGAAGAGCAAGGTCTTGTTCAGCAGGTCGATCTCAGGCTCCTCGAAGTTGAACCACTCCTTTGATCGCAGGATGGCCACGTCCTTGCTGGTAGCCAAGTTGAGCTGAATGGGCTTCTCGACCTTCCTCTGGAACGTGTTCTGGAAATCATCATATGCGCCGCGGTAGAGGAATTGACTAGTGACTTCCATCACTGGCTTACCATCGCGGGTGATAGTGCCACAGACCTCTACCATCTTACCAGAGTCCTGGTTGATGACAGCATTGATCTGTGCAGTGGTGTCAAGAACATCGCCCTTCTTCAAGGGCTCAGCGCCAGAGATCATGCGGAACCCGTTGGAAAGATGGACCAACTTGAGAAGGTCACCATCGATTGCGCGAGGGAAGATAGGCTTGGTGATGGCCTTCCAGCCGACAACGATGGCGAAGTCCATGGGGGCGTAGACTTCCTTGCCAGGACGGTCAACAAAGGCCTCACCCTTGTTTCCGACTGCGTGGACGAAGTCGTTGATGGCCTCACTTGTTACAGTGGCGCGGCCACCATCGAAGCGTGAAGTGACGGACGCATCGAATGGGCATGCCTCATCTCCAAACCAGATCTTGTAGTAGAAGTCCTTGATGCGGTCGTTTCGGGCATCCATGACCTCATGAATAGGCGCGTAGCCTACGTCAGGACGGTAGGTGAAGCGGAAAGGCAATGCGACTGCGTGTCCAATGGCGGTACGCTCCTCGTAGATGTTGAGCAGGATCTCACTGTCTTTGGTGAGGCTGACTTCGACGGTCTTGATTAGCTTGCCGCCGTGGTGCAGCTCCTTGACGATGATGGCAGTCTTGGCAGGCTCGTTGGGGTTCTGAATCTCGACAACCATGCCTGGTGTGGGAGCAAAGACCCTCGAAGTAGGGTTAGTCTGGAAACGCTGACCCTGCACAAAGATGTCCGCAGTGAAGAAAGCATGTCTCCATGAATAGCTGGAGCCTGCCAAAAGTTGCAGCCATGAGTGCACCTCTGGCATCGTAGCGTTGGGAGCAGCGGAGAGGCGGTAAATGACCTTGTTCTCAAGCTCTGAGACGGTAAGACCATCCACCTCTAGTCCCTGGGGTGGTGCTAGCAGGTTGCTACCGAAGTACTCAATGACGGGAACCTTGGACTCGTCATCGCCGTAGATGTCGTGCATAAGGAGCTTGATGTGACCCTCGTGGACACCATCCAGGATCTCCTTGATGGGCTCGTCAACCTTGGTGGAGTACTTGACGGCCATGGGTCCTTGAAGGATACATGTCCTGCCAACGTCTTGGTCAACGACAGCATCGAGATCCTCGGATTGCCAGAGTGAATCCTTCTTGAAGAAAAATTCAAAGGTCTCATCAAGGACGGGAACGAATGGTACAGGCTTCTGTCCACGACGTTGGCAGAGCAACAGGAAGTGTTGCACATCTTGGGCGCTGATGAGCTGGTTATCGGCATCGGGGTAAGCCTTGAAGACCTTCTCGAGCATTGGGAAGGGGTCGTTGAGCTCATCGTAGTTTTGGATGAGTGACTCGCTGCTAGCTTTGCTGAAACGCTCTTCCAGTCGGCGGATGAAGTCGCCAGTCAAGCGCTTCAAACTCTGGTCGATCCAGCGGGATTGGTGCTTGACGTACATGAGGTCTACCATACGTTGGACAACCTCAGTGTAGGTCATGTCTTCCAAGTCAACTGACTCTCCCTTCTTGTTCTTGCCGAACCAGACCTTCTGGAAGTCCTTGTTCAGCTTCTCGATGATGTACTCGCGCATCTTCTTCAGTTCGGGGACACGCTTGGCCTTGTCGAGACTGAAGATCTTCTGGTCCATCTCGTGCCAGAAGATGACACCACGAGTGGCAAGCTTGTGGATTGGCTCACCCATCTCAGAGCGAACAGTGATGACACCTCCAGCTGGGCCCTTGTAGGTCTTCTCCCAGTCCTCGTCGTCAAGACCAGGGGCGTCAACGATAGCTTGTTTGGCCATCTTTGACGTGTAGCATTCCTTCGCCGTCATTACGCGACTGCCAAACAAGCAACCGTCATATGGCATGGGTGGGTATCCAAACTTGGTAGACCATTGACCGGTGAGGTATGGGTATGTGTCTTCGGCGCCACCGAAACCGGAACCTGCGACGAGAATCAGGTTCTCACACTTGCGCAGACGGCTGTACATCTGCAGAATGGGCTGATGGAAGTCCTCGAAGGAATGATGACCTCCACCACGACCACCAGTCCACTGCATCAAGACCGGGAAGGTAGGGTTCGCCTTCGCGATGTTAATGGTCTGTTGAATAGCCTCGACGGAACCAGGCTTGAAGGCAATGTGCTTGATGCCAAGAGTCTCGATGTATTCGTTGGCTACTTCA